AGGCTTGAATAAAATAAATGAGTGGCGTCTGGAAAATTTTCAGTGTTAATCCTCTCAACGTTGGCACACCACGATCGAGGTTTCGTCCTGATTTGGACTCATCAGCTGGAGTAGCCTGAGCTGGGGTGGAACTTAGAGCCTAGTGTTTCACGACTGAGGCCGTAAACACAATGCCACTGAGATCCGCGGGTAACGCCTGGCACAGCGGCCAGGAATTCAAAGTTGGACTTGGAGAAACCACCGAAATATTTTCATTTCGGATACGGTGCTTGCGATCGGAATGACTGAGGTCTACTTCAAAGTGAACCGTGATCTCAATAGAGGTTGCGTTACGCAATCCAACCACACAGCAGGTTCTCCAAGTCTAACTTTGAGTGGCGTCTGATTATAAACTCTATGTAGTAGAAGCATAGTAAACCATCATAAGTGCGAGAAAGCGTGAAAGTGCGTTTCCATGATTCCTCTGTGGCGAGATACGACCCGGTTTTTTGTCGAACTAGGTAAGTTATCCTAGGGGGTCCAAAGCCCTGAGCATCTGGCCAAAGAGCCTACCCCACAAGTCAGCAGGGAGCTAAGGTTTTTGCACCTGTTGGGAGTCGGTGACTGGTCGTTCAGTTCGTACGACTTTCGGATGATGATACTTCATACCAGGTGTCCAACACTCCCTGGATCAGAGGCAACATCCTACGCTCGAATTGATTGCATGTGTACAGTGTCCCCAAGGAGCGTACAAGGCAGTGACTTTATTTAGTAACGAGTCACCCGTCACGACGCGTTGATGTTAAGCGGACATTTGGAACTGTTCATCGTGGGGACGCTTGCCAGGCGAAAACTCACCACATCTTGGAATGCTGCCGACGAACCATTTGCTGGAGCGAGGACTTTCCGAGTCACAGTGAAAAGGTTGTTTCACGTTTAAACAGCTCACAAACCGTTGGATTGAAGTAGCTCCTGCAAGGACACCAGGATGAAGTAGGCGAGTTGGGCGCTTCGCCTTTAAGAATGCGAATACACGCTAAACCACGTACCATTATGAGACAGTGTAATGGCGGTTTTTTGACACGGATGAGGATGATTAACCGAACGTTGCCTTCGGTGCCAGTGGTTTAGTGCTGCAGCAAAATCCGTGGGAGTCGGTGGCTGAATGACGTATTGACCGACTCCTGAACAACACGTATAATGAGTCAAGTCGAGGTAAACAAAAACAGACAAACATTTCGGGCTGTTCGCGAAGAGTTTGGGGAAACTGCTCGTCAAGGATGCCGGGATTCTGATGTGAACACAAGTAAGAGGCGCTACCCCAGTGTTGGTGATCTCGCCGAAATCGAGTAATAAGTTAGTGGTCTCTTGTCACGAAATGGTGCACACTTGGTGCGCCAGGACATGCGATTTGCCTAAGCAACGAACTTACTGATAGGGCATACAGAGAGACGTCAATACGTACGTACTGTCATGTCAACATTATCAGCACTTGGAACGGGCCAATCGGGGAATACCACGATCTATGCCGTCAATTTCACTGTCCGAGGTTGGTAATCTGTGGTCAGCCGGTGTGGTGGGGTTGTTTTCGTTAACGAACCGAGGTAATCAGTATGTACTCTCTGTGACCCAGCAGTTCATCCTGGGAGATTGTTACTACAGCGATCCCGGGTAGCCGTTCGCGGAATTCCGAAGGCGATATTGACAGATCAGGGCTCAGAGTGACTAATTCCGGTCATATCTAGAAAAACATGGCATCAAGCAGGTTCCGCCTACCCCAATTATCCCTAGATATACAAATTGACAAAGAAGCATAATAGGGTGAATAAATAATGAGATTGAAGGCAGAGTCTGTGAAGAAGTTTCGCTGCTATTTTGCTAGCTCACTGAACGTTTAAGCAAGCAAACACCAAGACCTCATCATCTAGTTAATGTATGGTCGTGTATCTCATCTTCCTGTGGTTTTATAGGTAAGAGTGTGACTGCTATCCAAATTACCGCCAAAGGAAGCACGCAACAGCTGGAAGCTAGCGAACTGAAGGACGCCCTGCCCCTACGCAGGCTCGAACCCGGGTTTTTCAGTCGGTTCGAAAGTTGAAATGCATAGATCGCCAACGCGACCGTATGTGGCCCAGTGGAGAGGAAACGTTCGCCCAAGTGGATAGGCCATATGAATGCTATTTGACGGTATTGCTCAGCAGAACGATAGACGGCCCATGCTAGTAAATTGAGGAATTGGTACGAACGAGGAGAGGATAGTACTGTGCGAGTAGACCAGCCTCGAAAGTCGGAGAGACTGCGTGCTAACTCAAATGGAAACGGGAACGTTGTGGCAGAGACGTGTGATGCACTACTAGTGGGTGCTTTGGAGATAACGGACATGCGTGGATGAAGACACGCAGCAGAACGGAGAGAGGCGCAGCGCCATGTTTGAGGCTTGCAAATAAACTCGATTGTGATAATTTCGGTCACTTGCACCATATGCACTCGCGTTATCACAACAGTGGGAAGATAAGGCTCTATCGACTGTTCAGTACTTGCAGCTCCACAGCCCCTCATTTTGACCAGCTGTTTTCCTTCAGATAACCCAGCATATTGCACACTTTAAGCAACATAAATCCGGTCTCTAGATTTGGCACCAAGTCGACATCTTGGTTATCCGAAAGGGGTTCCTCTGCGTTCTGCCAGTCGACGGCCGAAGGGATAAGATGTCTGCTTTAGCCGGAATATCACTGTTTCGAGCTTGCGTAAGTACGAGCTACTCCTCAGTATCCATAACTCGCGCGCAACTGTTGGTGGTCCCGTCTCAGCGAAGCGTCGGCAGGACGTGTCGGTGAGCTAATGATGCCTTTTCACCTATGTTCCGTTTTCCGTAGATTCCGTTTCAGCCACGCAGGTGTCAGCGCATACAGAAAAAGCTGGAATACTACTTCATTTAGCTATGCGCGTTCCTGTAAAGGCTACACTGTTCGCCTGTGCGACTCCGCCCTTGCGGGGGAGTGGTGTTTTAGGCCACTGGGGAACATTTATCGGTATGACTAGCTAACCGACCGCGTTATACGGGGAAGTAAGTTTCTGTTGTGCACGGAGCAATGTATATCTTTAAATGGGCTACTTCTATCACTAAGCAATCGATCGTTTCATGTTGTAGTCTTGATAAGAATTGATAGGGGAAATAGATGAAATTCAGTGCGCTTTGTCACATGGAGCTTTTATCCCGTGCGGTCCGATAGAACTACTTGTTCCTGACGAATCCTGAAGGAGTGAAACGGCTACTCCCTTCGCACATTGTTCGGGCAGAGTAATCGTTTACGGAAAACTGTCGCCGCCCTTCAATATCTCCAGCGGTGTCACCTTTCCACTTTAACTTCGCAATTGACGAACTCATAAAAACGATGTTCGCTGGGCATGACTTCGGGGTGAGGCTGCTCCCAGATGACTTGGAATATGCCTACCACATTGCCCTAATCTGTGACTGCTCCCGAACGTGCCAAGTTGTACTTTACAAATTAACCCTGGCCGTCAGTCGTTTGGATACATCTTTTGCAACTTCGAAATTCAAAGTCCTACTCCAAGATTGGCAGGGACTCATCCCTACGCTGACCCATGGTGGAGATGAGCTAGAAGTGTCGGGGAATTCAAGTAGCTAGTGCCAGTGGAATTGAAATTGAGGTCATGAACTGTATAGGGATAGATCGGGCTGTTTTTGCCAATCTCCGCCAATTGTGGCAGCGGCGTGACATCGATCTCGCTTTGAAGGGCGAAGTTTACAATGCAGCCGTCCGTTCAACCCTCCTGTACGGCTGTGAAACCTGGCCCATTCGATCAACAGACATAATGAGGCTACCTACGTTCGACCGTCACTGCCTTCGCAGCTTAGCTACTGTCTGGTTGGGACACCGCCTGAGTAATGAGCGTATTTAGTGCAGTAAAAGCGAGTGGACCGTTCAGCACCGTTATATCACGCACCAGGTTCCGATGGCTGGGCAACATGTTACGGATGCCAGAACACCGACTCCCGTGTTGTGCGTTATTTGCGCGTCCTGGGTTTGGATGAAAGAAGAGGGATGAAACCAAGCGATAACTTGCTCAAGCGGAATGCAAACCCTCACTTCGAAGCCTGCGTCGGTTGATGTCTTCTGATTGCCTGGCTGGGGTCTGAAAGACGATGAACACGTTTGGTTAGGTACACTTGTCGGCATGGCAAAGAGACGACGTTGGTGGCGTTTGTTTTATAGGTTTCCCCTCCGCCCATTTGGCTCCCCGTTCGACAACCATCTTAGACCCCATACACAATACGATATTTAGTATCAGTTTACATTATTTAGCTTTTGTTTAATCTCTTGTCTTTTTTGTATTGCGACACATTAGCTGAGGTTTGTTTCTCACCCTCAACTAATATGTATTGGTGATGGTGATTGACTTTCCCTTCCACGGTGTGCTGGCTGTTTATTACTTCATCGATTCCTCAAACCACTCTTACTGCTTCGAGTTTGAGTCCGTCTGCCTTTCCATCAGTGCCATATTTTTTTGGTGCCCATGGGAATTGTTTCAGCATTATTTGCTCAAGTGATCGATGTATCATAATACATCGATCACTTGAGCGGATAATGCTCTTCTCTTTTTATCCGTTGTTTTAATGATCATCTAAAATGTCAGTCGCCACTGCCAAGAGATTTTGTAACGGTCTTCACACGCCTATTCAACATAGTTAATTCTTATTATACTGAAGTGCCATTTAGTCGCTTTTTTCCTCCAGTGACTGGTATACGACGCTTTGAGGCTCATCAAGGTCTCACCATATCATCACCGCAGCTATTTCCACTCATCACCTCTACAGTCTTTTACCAGCCTTATGTACCTAGTGATGTCCATTTTCAAGGTTTTGAAAACTAGGTTTCCTCCGTGGTTGCCTTAGTATGGGCACCCAATAGTGCCCTGTTTTGTGTAACATTTCTTCACACGTAACGATCTTTCATCAGCTTCTGATTTCCACTCCATATCAATTTGTGGTACTTCAGGATCTTTTGGAGCCAGTTACACTAGGCGACTCTTCGAAGGAGTCTTCCGAGTCTGATTCAGATGACAAGCTAGACTCGCTCCGGAAGAAGAAAAAGAAGAGGAAGCGCGTGGAAAGTAGTCAAGCCGAAAAGATTGCACAGCCTCCTTCAACCGGACCGTCCCCAGGCGACTCTCATCCCACCACATGTGATCCTTGCGGTATGCCAATTTGTTTGTGTATGCTTTTATACTACTTGGAGCTTTTTCGGCGGTATAATGCTTATCTACTAATTAACATCACGGTCATTCAACCCGTTTGCCACGTTTCGAGTCGTCCTTCTCATTTCATTCAGAGAGAACCAAAATGAGCTTCTGTCAACTCCAGTAACGTGGTAGGTGTCCACTTCACCCTGCAAAACCAGAATTACCCGCCAACCGGTCGGCGCATTAGTACTAGCTTAAGCTTACTGACCTTTGGCATAGTTGTCTCTTCGCTGCGATATTTTTGTTATCAGGAGTTTTCCTGCTATTTTTCCCGAGACAGTCGCTGAGAACTACAGTGCTAATCCATTCTCAGGTATATCTACTAGACTGTTGATGTTAGCTTTTTGAAAAGCAGTTCCACTAGGCTACTCTTACACTATCATACAGTGAATCACGTGACCTCATATGAAATGTTGGTGTCACACCTCTCACTTTGTCCGGAATTCGAGATGGACTCACTCTTCTGAAACGAATCAAAGCTTTTACACCTGGTAACCTTCTTCCATTGTTACCGAGAATGGAGGTGACACATTGGTGGCTGATTTGGCTGCTCCAGTCAGCGCTATGGGATGATGCACTGAATAGGTGACTTCAGACTAGCAATCTTCATCCAACATTTCCAACATAAAATGGTATTAAAGAACTCTATACAAAGGTCACCGAAATATTATCCTCATTTCCCTCGTCTTCACAGTTACCACGGGTGTGATTCTGAAACGAATCACTGGTCCTCATACGATCCAAATCAGCTTAGCATTCAGTCTGACCGAGGCTGCATCGACCACGTATTTTCACGTTATTCCATGGCAGAATGACATGACTTGAAAGCAAACACCGACTCAGTTGCTCGTGTCACTAAAGGTTGTTGCTATTGTGTACTCGGAATGACGAATTCGCACAGCGCAGGTAGCATGTTGTTAGAAGATAAATAACTGGATGGAACCACTTATTGTTGAAATTAGGAATAGGGGCACATTCGGACGCAGAAGTGGTCCCATGTCTTGTGTACATGCAATGAGTTAAGTACTTGTGTGCGTGGTGGATGGGCTAGGACGCGCACATGATTATATTCAGTCGAACAGCCATGATCTGAGCAAGGAAGTGCGGTGGATCCACTTGCCACTACTCACATTGCAAGAGTGACAATAAACAACAGCGGTAAGAAAGTGAGGTCAAATTTAAACACAATACAAATAATGGGGAGTAAAAAAGAAGTGCGTTAAACCAGTCGTGATGAGTTGGAAATTAGCAGCTAGGTGCAAGAATGCAAGAATGCCACGAACTGCGCAACTACAACATGTTTGCAAACGTCTCCAACCATTATTGTAGACCATCCTGTGGCCTCTAAGTGCAAAGACGGCATGCACCAGCCTGAACAAGTCACTCAGTCACTACATACCTCTATGCCACGTCATGGATTGGCTACCTCGCGCCTTCCCCCAATTTGGTGCAGCCACGGCTATAATGCACATTGAGGAAGGCGGTCGACCGGCATTCGAAGGACATGATCTAGCCAAAGTAAGCGGTTGAACTACAGCAAACACTCGCGTGAGGCACCAGAGGGTTTCTTGCCAACAACCAACTAACAGGCCTCAACATTGCTCATCCGGTGTTCCTACCGGATGTGAGAAATACTCAGTAAGCACGAGTGATCAAACATGGCCAAGCGCTTAATGTCTTCGCTGCTGATACGCAAACTGTGCATCTCATTAATGTGACCACCAGAAGTAACACTGCTACCAAGGTAAGTGAACCTATCCACCACTTCCAGTGGCTGTTCGCTGATGGATAAACAAGGGCGTAGCACTCCAATCCTGAAACATTACTTTGCATTTCGAAGGTGCAAAGCGCATGCCGAAACATGCAGCACTACGCGTCAGTCTGTTCAGTGGTGCTTGTATAGTCACTTCGTCAGACTTAAGGAGAGCTATGCCGTCTGCATACTCAAGCTTTGGCAGTCGGTCATTTGGCCTAATTTCCACTCCGGAAAAGTGAACAACGAAGTCATTCATTGTCATTTCATTCACGAATTTGGAGAGAAAAGGAGATATCGACGATCCTTGTGAACCCCGCTTGTCTTGCAGACCTCAGGAAACAGCTTCCCCTTGGTCATTTCCAGGTTTTGGGGTCACGGTAGAGAGATTTCAGGATAGAAAAGAGTTTAGCTAGCACACCTTTCATGGATAGGCAGTGCCACCTGGTGGCTCAATCAACAGTGTCGAAGGCTGTATTAGATCACGGAAGACCACCATAGTCTGTCGTCTGTACGTCTCTATTGTACCGAAAACTAAGTACTTGATCGATGCAACAGCTACCTAGCTTGCGGTGATTCGCTTGCCAAGAGCACCAGTAAATTGTCGCAGAATAGTGCCCACGAGAAATTTGGAGACAATAGAAAGTAGGCTAATGCCGATGATTTTCGCACAAACTCCGTTGGTTCTTGCTGAAGATAGAAAAGACAGTTATCGGGTGCTAGTCTGATGGCACCACTTTAGTGTTCCAGCTAGGGTTGAATAGAGCAGCAAGTTTAGTCAACAAAAAGTTACCTCCATCTTTCAGCAAAATTGCAGGAAGGTCTTCAGGTGCAGGAGACTTCTTTCGTTTCAACACGTTAAGCTCATGTCGAATCTCTTCTAAAGTAGGAGGCGTGACATCGAGTTCCCACTTCGGTTCAGGTGATCCGGCAAGTGGTAGTGTCGCATCAGGCCTGTTTGGCTGCTCTTTAAAGTGTTCTGCCCAATGGGCTAGTCGACACAGCTGAGAATGAATAAGCTGTCCATATTTTGCATCTGTTGTCTCACTAACTGTGGACTTTCTTGTACCCGTGTTACAGATGAGCCGGAACAACACTCGGCTGTTCCCAAAAGCACTGAATTTCTCCACCTCACAACCCTTGCCATCCAGCAGCATTCCTGGTCAATTCCAAGACTCATTGTCAGTCTACGTTTCGTTGCCGGCCCGTAACCTTAAGGATTACAAACCTGTCCTATATTCCGATGGCGCGTGTTCAAACCTGCGTAGGGACCGGGCGACCCTCGCAGTATCCTCAATCCACGTGCAACTGGTGGTGGTTGCGCAGCAGCGAAACGTCGGTACTGCGTACCAGCGTACTGCTGATGCGTTTTTCGTTTCAGGTTGTTACGGTTACGCTGAAACTTAGTATCCCTTGGTACCTATTTGCATGCTTAGGTCAAACTGATCGATGTCTAAGAGATCCGTTCACAGTTCGGACACCTGAAGTTGAGCGTACAGCATGCGTCAAACGCATTCTTCATGGCGCATTTGAGACCATCCCATTCAGCGTTCGGCTGACAAATCACACTCGTCACTGCCATTTGCGGAGCCAGTTTGTCATGATATTGTTAAACTGCGAAATACGTGTTCACGTTACAAGTACCAAGCTTTGTAGTTAGGCTCTTCTTTGAATCGGGAAGATTGAGCAGCAGACCCGCATGCACTGTACCTTTTTACAAGCAACTTAGCGTATAGTGCTGATAACAGCTTGTTGAAATCTCAAAATAACGTGTTTTTCATTCAACTTACGCGCGCATCAATTCATTCTCTCCCTGATGGGTTACATGCACGCACTATCAGGGACACACTCTTTGGTCAAGGGACATTAGCCAATGGGACTCCCTGGATGTAAGCACAGAGCTAGATGTATGCGTCTATGGAGGACAGGTATGCTTCCGAGTAGGTGACACATTTTTGTTAACGGAAGGCATACAGGGATGAGAGGGTCAGTGCTAGAGGTCACCAACACCGCGTGACTGTAGCTGGTCAACCTAGGATAAGGTGTTTGAACGTCGTCCCTCAGCATCCCTTTAACAGATCTGTTGTCAGAAAGAGTTATCATTGGTTCGTATTCTGACCCGGTCGGTAACCGGTGTCCCTGTGCGAAATTTCCGGCGCTTGTCCGAGCAGTCCGTAACGTATTGAGCGCACAATATGATATCGGTCCAAGGTGCATAGTACCAGTAACACATATAGGTTCCAGCTTAGTATTGTCCCTGGTCGGAACAATATACCGCATGAAGATAATAATAATGTTAATAATGGGCATATTTCTCATCAAATGAAAAGCTGTGACAATATTTGGCACAGAACATACACACACTGGTGATGTCATGCTTTTGCAAGAGCAGTATAAGGTTATCTTCTTATACTTGTCTGTATTCCTGGCATGGTATTTGCCCCATATACAAGTGTTATGCCAATGGTAGGAGGCTGCTTGGCAGTTCTATTATGTTGTAGACACTGAGGACTGATTACGCTGCGTGAATTGGTGATATTACACCCATTAGATCTTATCTGTGCTTTCACTGAATGGATGTTCAAATTATCTTCCCCAGGAGAAAAACGATAAAATGGTGTCCAGGTAGAGGTAGCTTCGCAACTTACTGCGAAAGGATTGCACAGTTTCACACAATCTGATGGTGTATGACAGCCGATTCCACAGAGAAGCATATATGGGGAGACGAAAGTTAGACCGCAGATTTGTCCTGCATCGTGGTATAATCAGGGTAAGGTCTTTGTTACCTAGGTCTCGCGTCTAATTATGTTTCAATGTTTAGGTGAATCGATTGCGTTAGGTATTGCCATAAATCAGCTTGCGCAACAGTCTCAAGTTATCTTTTAGCGGATCGAGCTGGAGTTGTTGGCATCGCTCCCGAGAGTTTATGATAGAATTGTTTCCAAATACATGCTTAGTAAATAACCGTTGAAGGCTTTCTATCCATGTTCTATCTGATTTCCTCATATTTTCTCAGATTATGCTGCGATACTCCAGGATGGGACGAGTAAGGATTTTAGATAGTGAACTGTAGCTGTGATTGTATGCATGTTGTGAGAGATGTTAGCGAAGGATTGTCCGGCTCGTACTCAATCTGTTCTAAGGACATGAAGGTACAATAATATCTGCTTCCAAGGTCATGGGTAGACCGTTGTACACAGAT